ACTCTTCCAAGAATGATGTCCCTGTTCTCACTTCAGCAGCACATATACTAAAGTTGAAATGATACAGAAAAGATTACATGGCCCCTATGCAAGGATGACACGCAAGCATGATGTCCCTCTCCACGGATTGGTTGCTTCTTACAACATGCCCAAAGTATGTCAGACAAAGCCTCAGCATCCTTGCCTCCAAGGAGCAGCCTGGTTTCACCCTCTCTAGGAATTAACCTCTTTATTCTCCTGGTAGTCCATGGTATATAAAATACTCTTCTCCAGCACCACAGCTCAAAGGCATCTGTTCTCTTTCTATCATCCCTAGTCATTGTCCACCTTTCTGAAGCATAGCAAGTAATTGTGAAGACTATAGCATGGATCAGGCGCACCTTAGTCTCCAGATTGTCATCATCGTTCTTCAGCACTCTGGAGAGGTCCCTTATTGCAGACTTTAGTAATGCAATTCATCTTTTGATTTCCTGGCTGCTGGTACCATTGTAGAGTACTGATTGTAGAACCAAGCAAACTAAAGCTGTTAACAATCTCAATATTGTGGTAACTGGTGTTTATAAACTTACGAAACTGTTTTAATTATGAACTAGTCATTAAAGGAAAAAAAGAAGCATTTTAAAAGGCTTCTGCTTCATTACTCAAAAAATCTGTCATCATTGTAGGGTCAGAACTGACTTATTGCTAATCTTCCAGCAGGTTTTCAGAGACTGTAAAACAGAGGGAGGAGATTGCCCATCTTTTACCCGTGGAGCTCTTGATGGGCTCGAGCTGCCAAAGAGACACCGCTTTTAGGTTAACAACAAAACACCCCACACACTATGCCACCAGAGCTTCCCAAGTCCTCTATGGGCTAATAATGTAACTCAGTATAGAAAGATTTTACAGTAAAGTTTTCTTAACATTCATATAAAAATATTGCATTTAAACAGTGTGCAACTATATAATGTACTATTATGTGGTTAGAATTGATAAAACATTACTAAGAAGTCTGTATAATCTTGTTGGAAGGATCTAACTCCACTTCAAGACACTCATGAGTTACTGAGCTAGACAACATCAGTTGTAGTGATACCTCTATCTTTATGCTTGTTGACATAGCACCAGGAAATAACTAAGAATATGATACACAGTACTTATGAGGTTGTGACAAAAAAAACCCCAAAAATCCAAAACCAGAGGTAGTGGACACTAGTGTTTAGTGGTAGAATTCTCCCCTTCCATACAGGTTCAGTTCTTGGCTCCTGCCCCTCATCTATATGTACAATGTGTCTTTCAGGAAAGCCTTCCATGTTACTATAATCCTGAACAGGGTTTAGTGGTGCATCTGGACTAAGATAGGCTAGGAAGAAAGACCTGGTGATATACTTCCAAAAATTGTTGTTATTTTTGTTGCATACCGTTGAGTCAGACGGGCCCATAGCTGCCCCTCCAGTGAGTTTTCAGAGGCTGTTAATCACATGGAAGGAGATTGTCCATCCTTCTCCTAAGGAGCAGCTGGTGGATTCAAATTGCTTGCCTTTGGGATTGCAGCCCAGCTGCTTACCACTAGGCCATCAGCACTCCCTTCAAAAAATTAGCCAGTAAAAATCTTAAGGATTACACACTCTCATCTACAGCTGATCCTGTACTGGGTGCAAGAAGACAGACACCCTTTCATCCCATTTTGCATGGAATTAACATGCAATAGCAATAGAGAGAAAGTAAAATAAAGCCTTCAGGGAAACTTTGAAAGCAATTGGGAAATATTCAGCTACTACCATAAAATCTTTCTATTAACAAATAAAACAAATCTAGGAAATCTATCATTATGGGAAAAGTTGTTCTTAAAAAATCCCAATATATCACAGAATTATTTCTATTAATCTTTCACAGGAAAAACTGTAAAACACCTGAATATGCAGCAGTTGGGGATTGCTTTGCATAGCTGATAATGAAATAATTTATAGACTATCATAAAAAAACTATATCTTATAAAGCTAATGAAAAAGCACACCAGTAGAGTGTATAGGAAGGCTTACAATTGTTAAAAATACCTAAACATATGTAAAAAAGACAGAAACAAAACAGACTGTTATAGGCTGTTGAAACTTTGAATGTATTTTTTTTCCATGTATGTTAAAAGATTATTTTCACAATATATGAAATCAAATAAAAAGGGAAGAACAAGTGGGAATCCCCTGATGTTCATATATTAGGGAGGATGCTATACAGATATCTAAGCAACATTTCTCTTCCTTGCCTCAAAATCTCAGTGTGTATTTTGTCCAGTTCCAGAGGCTTACCATTTTTTTTAAGTAACTCTGGCTACCATGGTTATTCTTTGAAACTCTAAACAAAGTTTGTATTGTTCCCTGGCAGCATTTCTTATTTGCATTAAACCATGAGTTATGATATTAGTGCATCCTGTTATGTACTCTTTGAAGAAAGCAAACCCGAGCGCTCTTTGTTTCTGGTTGGAGACTGAAGGAGAGCCCTGTTTCAGGTGTATGGCTTCTAAGTTCTAATGCCTTATGTGTACAACAGCATATCAAAATTTTTCCATAATGCCTACTGTTATTCTGTCTTTTTTTTTTCTGGTCCTTTTATCAAAGAATGTGCCAGAGTGAGGATTAAAGCATCACTTTGTATAAAACTAATGCAGGAGGTTAAGACTGTCATTTATGAAAATGTAGTATAATATTCATAAAACACTTTTCTTCTCCCAGAAAGATAACACAGATGTCACATTGCTTAGTTTAATTGGCAAGTATGCATAAAACACCTGTGTTGTTATTGTTGTTGTTGTTAGGTGCCATTGAGTCATAGACAACTCATAGCGACCCTATGAACAAAAGGCCTTAGGACTGTTCATAGAGTTTCCGGAGGCAAGCCATTTCAGAAGTGGATACCACTCCTGCTTCCAGGCTTGATTTAATCAGGAAGCTCCATCAAACACTGCCCACCATGGGTAACCATTATTGCATTTGGCACATCAGTGTCACAGTGTTCAGCATCACAGCAACCACAAGTTACCTGTGTACAGCAATGCACAGACCAGTGCTGTGCCACCTAGAAGAATGTTTGACAGAAACACAATTTAAACCTGGCCTGTGGGCCACAGATTAAAATCACCCACCTTGGGCTTGGTAGCATAACTTTCTGTCCACTAGGCCAACGTAGTTCTCTATGTTGTTGTTGTTGTTATTATTGTTAGGTGCCGTTGAGTCATAGATGACTCATAGCGACGTACAAATATTATTTAAAGCAAGTGTCTTAATATTCTGGAAGAACATTTATAAATGAGGAATATAAGGCAAATGAGAGTGAGGAGAGAAATATTTACCATTTACCTTTCTCAAATTTATAACAACTAGTTGATTTATTCATTCACTTAGTAATTTAACATGAAGTAAAGGGCTCATCCTGTTAAACTGATCTTGAGCATGGCCCAGTAGAAAAAGAGTTGTACTGCCAACACAAAGGCAGGCAGTTCAAATCCACCAACTACTCCATGGGAGAAACGTGAGGTGTCTCCTCCTGTGCAACCTGCAGAAACCCACTAGAGGGTCAACTAATGAGTTGGTTCTGACTCAATGGGGATGAGTTGAGTTGTTACCTTATAATTTTTTGTGAGGATTAAGTCATTTTTTTTTTGGTAAAGGTTTATGGAAAAAAGAAATAAACTTTTTTGACAGGTAATAAGTGCTTAGGAAATGTTACTGCTTATTATCAGCATTGCACGCTTTGAATCTGAGAACTCAAGAGTAAAAAGGCCCAATCTCTGCTCTTCATGCGCTTTATTTTAGAAATAACTAAGGAAACAGGTGCTCTGCTGATGTAATCTATAGGGAATTACACTGCTGAGCCAAAGGCCATGCCTCTCTGGTGGTTCAGATCTGTCAGAGGCCTCTCTGAACAAGATGAGCAATCTCTTCCTGAGAGATTTGTTGTGTCAAGTCAGAACTGACTCATAGTTGGCTTTCCAGTGAGTTTTGAGGGGCAGTAAATCACTCTGGAGGAGATTGCTCATCCTTCTCCCATGAAGTAACTGGTGGATTTAAACCATGGACCTTTGGAATTGTAACACAGCTTATTAGCACTAGAACACCAGCACTTCTTCCTGTGCAATTTACAGCCTCCTTGAGGGTCACCTATGAGTTAGTCCCTACTGAATGACAATGACTGAGAGAGAAAGGAACAACTTTACTCCTTTTGTAAAGAAGACATTTGTCCAGTACTGACAGATTTAGGGGGATATTTTATAAGTGAAAATATAATACAGTTGACATAAATGTTAGCTACGTAGAAACATGGATGACCAGGGGATCTTTCCTTTGCTTTTGGGCCTTCCAGGGGCCTTTTTTCATGTCTAAAAAGACATGTAATAACCTTCCTGAAATGGGAAATTTTTCTAGTCTAAAGGCTAGCATCTTTTCACACCAAATCATGAGGATACTGAAAGCCACATATTTTGATACTTGATATGAATTCTTTGTACAATGAAATTTGAAAAAGTCAAAACCATTTTCATGTTTTACTTCTGTGTCAACTATGTATGCAGTGATTAATTATATGTTCAAAGATGTGCATGTCCTTAAAAATTCAGAGTTGGAAAAGATAATTTTTCTAGGTCTAATATAAAAACCAATTATTCAGTCTTAATTTTCCTAAGCTCATCCACTTTCTATTAAGTGATCTCTGTATTTTTAAGAAGTTTTGAACTCATTCAACAAATACTTGATGCCTTCAGTGTCCCTAATAGGGTGCTAGGTATTAATTTCCATTGTTAACTTGCTTTAGCTTTCTCAGTAGACAAAAGACTGAGCAAAGAATTCTTTTACATCATGATATTTGGACATATGATTTTGAATTATGTTAGCAAACTAGAATTTACACTGGTACTTATACTTCTTCACACTGGCTTCTGGGATATTATTAGATTATTCTCTCCTATAACAATGTATACGCTGTCTTAATTTTTTCTGTTTTATTTAGTAATATCTATTTTTCATTTTGAGGGGGATCCTGGACTACCTGGAGCTGTAGGACAGAGTGGAATACCAGGATCAAAGGTCAGTTCAAATAAAATCAAGCAGAGTGATTTGAGATATAAATTTCCATCAAATTCCAAACCATTACAATGTTTTATATCCCACTGCTTGTGCTTCTAGGGTTTTTCAAAACTATACTTTGCTACAATCCAGAGCTTTGTGACTAATGAATAAATTATGTTTGTGATTCTCATCAGCATGAAAAATGCAAAATATCAAGTAGAATAGCACTGTCTGAAATCTTTACTCTGGGTTATTTAAATAATGTAAGAAAGCTCTTGTTTCTAATAAAACTATTATAATTTCACCAATTAATGGGCAGTTAAAGACAAGCCGTATCCATACAACCTAAAATGGCATGAGATTTAAAAAAAAACACCACCTAGCTAACAATAATGCATACAGTACCACTGTGACTGTCTCTCAGTATTTGGCTACCTCAAGCCATTATGCAATGAAGTTAATCATATGAAGAGCAGCATAGAGATGAGGCATGTTTAAAATTTAAAGATGGACATAGTCCTGAATTACTAAGTGGGGAAAAAATGTAATGAGGATATTTTTTTGGATTGCAAGTTTTCTTTGTTTCTTGAAGAACAAATGAATCTGTTAAATATAAAAAGATTGGTGACAGTTTCATTTAAACCAAACAGGCAGACAAATCCCAAATCCTTTGATGAGTGAACATCCCTTGAAGTACAAAAACTAATGTCTAATCCCATCAGCTGTGCTGGGGTGTATCTGTACTCACAAATGCCTGTCAGCTGATTTTACACATCACAATGCTATTGACAGGAGTCTAGAGCAGACCTAAAATTTATAGACCTGTCCCTTGTCCTGCAAGAGGGGAAAGAAAATATTCCTTCTGGGACTACAGCCATTTTCCTGTCATCTTCTCTTTCTTGTTCCATGTTAAAAAGTCAAATGATTGCAGTTAATGCTTAGTGCATGTTCATGATGCCGTTCCTGTGTTGCCTAGCGACCATCAGGATAGATGTTGAGCAGTGGAAGTGGCCAGAAATTCAGAAAGCCAAAGGGTCAGGCTGAGCTTCAGGCAATGAAAGGAGACTTGCCTCCAAACTGACTCCTTGAGTGGGTTTTAATTAAAAACAATATAGTAAGAAATAGTCTGATCTCATGGCAACACTTACTCAGCTTTGCATAAGTGAAGTTTTGTTACAATGGGTGCATTTCCTTCAGAACTCTCCCATTCCATCCTTTACCCCTTCCTTAGTAAAATGATAGTGAGATTTTCATCAAAATAGATTTTTTACATTTTAGTCCATGTGCTATTCTGGCCATCATTTTGAATAAGAACAGTTTTTCTAAATTCACTTATATTCTGCCTTAAATCAACATTTCACTTGAAAATATCAGTGGTTCCCAACATATACCTAAATTGGAACATTCTAGATACTGACCAGCTAAAGGGAACTCCTGAAATTGGAAAAGATCTAGTTCAAAACTGGATGTATATACTTATGTTAGGAAAGAAACTGCAGAATCACCAGGATGTACTTAGTATAAAAGACGTTATGGACAAATGTGCTTATCTATCTTATCGAGTTTGCATTTGGGCCAATGGAAAGTAGTAAACTCTTTAAGAACCCTCTCAAGACCTCCAATCACCATGGCAATGTTCTTTTTAGTGTACCTTTCCATTTCTAGATTATAATCTTAAAATATCTTTCTTTAATCCTTTGAAAGCAAAAAAAAAAAAATAATAAGATTATTGTACTGGATACTATCATCTGTATGTTGCTAGGCCCAAAGCAGTGCCTATCTGGTGGTTTTCCATGGGACATAAATGAGCAGTCTCCTCTGGTGCAATTTACAGCCTCGAAAATCTCCTGGAGGGTCAACTGTAAGTTAGTTCCAACTTGACAGCAATGAAAGAGAGAGTAAGAGAATTCTCTAGGAAATCATCTCCTGGTTTTGTTTTGTTTTGTTTTTTGCATATGGACATTATATATCATCAAGTAGAACACTTGCCCAATATGTTCCTACCCACCCACTGTCATCTAGTCAATTCTGACTCCTACTAACCCATCATTGGTTTTCCCTGGTTATAAATTCTAACAGGAAAAAACTGTCTTATTTTTCTACCTCCATGTGACTGGTAGATTCAAACCAATGACTTTTTAGTTAGTAGCCCAATGCATGTTACACCAAACCACCAGGGTATGCTCAATATCTCATGTGATATCAATCAATATCAATATTTGATTTTGAAACTTTTTAATTATTCATTGTATAATTTTCCATTCAATCTTGTTCATTTTGCTCAGGGAGAACCTGGAGAACGAGGAGAAAAGGTAAGAATTTTTCTGACTGTATTTTTCTTCTCTCTTCCTCTCCAACAGAATGGTTTCCTTGAAATATGTAGACAAAGATGTGTGTTTAAAGGTTTAAAGAAACAGAGAGAAAGAACAAATTTAAACACTCTATGTTAGGCTTTTGAATAGGTTTCAAAAATCCCTAGGCTTGACTGCAGCATTTCTATTCTAACTACTCACTAATGCCATTCCAATCCTTTTCCAAAAATCCACATTTCTCTCTACTGCATCTTATGTCACTAGGTTAAAAGGATACAGATGTTTACCTTCAGCAAATACACTGAAAGGTGCCCCAGAAAGAATTCCCATAAAAAGTAAAAAAGAGAAACAAAAGGAGAAACGAAGTTCTGTATGTGAAATGTTTCATAGAGTCCCTTCCATACTGAGCCTGTCTTCATTATTTTTAGATTCCCAGCGCACATTGCTATGCTTGTTTTCTAGTTCTCATGTTGTTTAATGGAGCTCTGGTGGCCTAGTGGCAAGAAGCTGTGCTACATTCCCCAAGGCACATGGTTCAAGGTCACCAGCTGCTCCATGGGAAAAGGAAGGGCAATCTCCTCCCATGCAATTAACTGCCCCTAAAATCCCCCTGAAAGGTCAGCGATGGGTTTTGACTCAATGGTAAACAACAACAACATGCTGTTTAAAACTGCTAGAGAAGTATACCTTTTCTGTAGGAAAATACCAAAATACTACCTAATGTGATCCATAAATGGTCTCTGGTCTTCCCAACAAATCCTTATCCCATTAGAAGCTCATCTAAAGATCATGCAAACTTCTTGATCTATTTGAACACTTTTTCAGCGGGGGTGGGGGGTGGATTGTGTACCAATGAGGGAGTTTTTCTTTTGCTTTTCAAGGAGAGGAGCAAATGGGGGGGAGGGGGGAGGGGTTTGTGCGGAGAGAAGGGTGCAACAATGAATGAATGGAATCCCAAAATCTCTGTAGATGTTCATTGAAATGAAAAATAAACAACCTAAATTTAAAAAAAAAAAGCAAAGTAAAAACAAATATGCATCTATTTACGTGGAAGAACACAATGAAGGGATAGGAGACACAACTTCTTGAGGGTATGGCTCAGTCTAACCCGTCACTTCACAAGCACTCTGAGCCAAATTCCCTAAAAAGGTCAGTTTTGTTTATTAATAAAGGGATTTTCAAGCAATTTTTCCAAAAAGCCTGCTAATAGGCTGTGTATCAAAGATCTGTCATAACAGATCACCAGTACTTTTCTCTGGCAAGCTGCCAGTTCATAGTAATTAACTTGAAATGAATTAGGCATCAGATGAGTCTTTTGTGTGGGATTTAGGAGGGAAAAGGAGCCATTCCATGGTCCAGGAGTGTTCCAGGGTTGCACGGGCCCCGCCTGGGCTGCTGTCCTTCATCCATTGCCAAAGACAAACGCCTAACATGGTTAACTTCATGCTTATATGAAACAATAAGTGGGGAAAAAAGAGAGAAAGAAAAAAATATGAATGTCTCCCTTACTCATCCATCCTCTCCAAAGGCAGTGTTTGTCAATAGTTTCTCTTTTAAGGAATGTTTTTCATACATGGAAAAGTGACCACCTAGGAAGCTAGAGAGAAGGGCACTCGAGCCTTTGGGGTGTAAGGACAATAATGCGTTGTTATTGCTAATGGCTGCCACATTTAAGGGCTCATTGTGTGCCAGATACTGTCCTGGTTACTTGCACTCTAATTTGCCCAGGAGGTGCTGGAGCTGAGCTTAGGCCCCAAGCCGTGCTTTCAAATGCATGACATTTCCACTATAGCAGATTTGGTAAGACTTAAATTAAAGAATACAGAATTTAAGGAAGGTTTTCCAAAACAATGCATGTTTTGTGTAGAGAGAAGACTTCAATGCAGAAAGGTATATACAAACAATAACTAAGGAAATATACACTTCACAAACTTATTTTGTTCATGATTAAAACTCATTTTAAAACTCTTTACTATCAAGTCAGTTGTGACTTGGCAACTCTCCATTGTGTTTCTAACCTGGGAATCTTTTCAAGACTGCTAATCTTTCTCCCAAGGAGCAGCTAGTGAATTTGAACCATAGACCTTTCAGTTAGCAACCCAGCATGGAATTCACTACACCAACAGGGTTCCTGGGTCAACCTTGTTGTTGTTGCTGTGTATTGTTAAGTCAGAACTGACCCACAGCTGACTCTCCAGTGAGTTTTCAGAGACCGTAAACATCATGGGACAATCTTGTTCATCTTTCTCCTGTGAAACGGTTAGATTTGAATTGAGTACCTTTGAATTGGCAGCACAGTTCATTACCACTAAGACATCCAGTACCTTGCACTAGGAAGTCCACTGTCAGAGACCTCTCCAAATTACTGAGGAGCAATGACATCAGATTGACGACTAAGGTGTGCCTGATTCAGGCTGGAGGAAGAATGTTTAAGTTCCATACCCACCCCAAAGACATAGCCCCAGGCCTGACCATATCTTGATAAGGCTTGACAATATCATGATACAGACCTCAGATCACATCCTGATGAGACTCCTACCCCCAAGTTCCCAAGGAAACTATCAACCCCTCCTGAACTCCTTATTATTGTGTACTGACCTTCCAGCAAGTTTTCATAGGCAGTTTAATAACACTGGAGGAGATTACTCATTCTTCTTCCTCAGAGCAGCTAGTGTATTCAAACTGTGTGCCGTCAGGATTGCAGCACAACCTCCTACCACTAGGCCACAAGATCTCCATCCTCGATAAAAAGAAACTGCCTTTGTCTGCCTGCACAGCATCCTGAATTTTGTGCACAATTGCATGGCATCCCTCTCATGTCTACTTAATAAAAACCTATTTGTTTCTTGGGGTCAGCTGCTCCTGCTTCTTTTCTCCCTCAGCTCTCTTACTATCTAGCATGGGCCATCGTCTTTTCAATCACTTGCTATGCTTCTGAGAGCTGAACAGTGAATAATCATGACAGAAGAACTGATTCCTTTGAGTTGTGGAGCTGGAGAAGAGTATCCCATAGAAATACTCCTATGTCTACTGAATATCTATCCCATGGACTGCCAGGAAAGCATACAGCTATGTACAGCCAGAGAGTTCCTCAGAGGCAAGGATGGCAAGGCCACATCTCAGATTTTGGGCATGCTGCTAAGACAGGCTATTCCTGGGAAAGGGACCAAATGCTTAAAGAGGTGGAGGAGGGTCAGTGAGGGAAAGGAGACCCTCAAAGAGACACATTGACACAATGCTGTTGTTGTTGTTGTTGTTGTTATTTGCCGTTGAGATGCTTCCGACTCATAGCGACCCTATGTACAACAGCTCTATACCCTGCTCTATCCTGTGCCAATCCTATTGTCTCTGACACACCTACCCCCATTACCACAGTTACTGAATTGGTCTGTCTTATAGAGGGTCGTCCTCTCTTGTGCTGTCTCTCCACCCTCCCAAGCATGATGTCCCTCTCCAAGGACTGGTCCCTCCTTGTAACATGTCCAGAGTATGTCTGACAAAGCTTCAGAATCCTTACCTCTAAGGAACAGCCTTGTCTCACCCTCTCTAGGATGAATCTGTTTGCTCTCCTAGTAGTCCATGGTATATTCAGTACACTTCTCCAGCACCACAGCTGAAAAGCATCCATTCTCCTATTATCCCTAGTCATTGTCCAGCTCTCCAATGCATAGCAAGTAATTGCAAAGACCATGGCCTGAATCAGGTTCACCTTAGTCTCAAGACTGACATTGTTGTTCTTCAGTACTTTGGAGAGGTCTCTGACAGTAGACTTTCCCAATGCAATTTGTCCTTTAAATTCCTGGCTTCTTGTACCAAGAGTGTTGATGGTGGAGCCAAGCCAACTAAAGCTGTTTATAATCTCAATCTCTTCACATCTACCATGATGCTGCCAATCAGTCCAGAGGTGAGAATCTTTGTTTTCTTGATGTTAAGGTTCAATCCCCATTGAAGGCTTCAGTCCTTGACCTTCTGCAGCAAGCATTTCAGGTCCTCCTCAGTTTCAGCAAGCAGGGTGTGTCATCTGCATAATGCAGATTGTTGTTGAGTTTTCCTCCAATCCTGATGCCACATTTCTCCTCATAGAGCCCAGCCTCCAAGATAATATTTTCTGCATATGAATTGAAAATTATGGAGATAGAACACATCCTTGACGCAAACCCTTCCCAATTTTGAACCATGCAGCGTTTACTTGCTCTGTTCTGTCGACTGCCTCCTGGTCCAAGCATAGGTTTCACATAAGCCCAATCAAATGTTCTGGTATTTCCATTACCCTCAGAGTAGGCCGGTTTACTGTGACAGTCAAGGGTAGGTCTTAAACAAACAGAATGGGAAAGAAAAGACAGAGGCCAGGTGGTAAGAATGACACAAAGAAGGATGCAGACCGGAGGAGGCCAAGAGAGTGTGTGTGAAGGTCTCAGCAGAAGAGAGAAAGGATTAAGTAGGCTTTAAGTGCCAGGATGAGCTGTTGCGGACAATCATAAAACCACCTTCTTTCTGTTATTGTGGAAGAGTTTTAAAACTGCTCTGCTTGTCCACTGTAATAAATTCTTTTTGTACTAGTTGATACTAGGCAGCTGGTCAAGTAAAAGTATATTAGCTCAGTAGGACATTTACAAGATAATTTAATATGTAGTGTTTTAAAAACTTAGTGTTTATGAGAGAACACATAAAATCATGAAAAATAGCCTTTGTTTAATGCCACCAATGTATCATACATGTATTATTTCTTTGCCTTTTTTTTCTCCTCAGGGGGATGCTGGAGAAAATGGCCCCAAAGGTGACACAGGCATAAAGGTATGATTTGTGAAATATGAAATGTTATGTGAGTGAGCAAGAACTTTAACTACATGTGTAAGAAAATAGGAAGGAGTTCTGGTAACTTAGTGGTTAAGGAGTTGTCCTTCCAAACAAAGATAAGCAGTTCAAATCTTCTAGCAGCTCCATGGAAGAAAGATGGAAAGCCTCCTCTCTTGAGACTTAGAGCCTCTGAACACTTGAGGGAGGGCCAACTAGGAGTCGAGTCTGACTTAACAGTTCATAATAACAACAATATAACAAAATTATAGTTTCCTGATGTATGTGTATGGGAGAGAGAGAGTCAGAGAAAATTGTTCAGGATTAGAAAAGATTTAAATATTTGATTATTCTATCAGCTTCTAGCTAACTAAAAAGTTAAATATTTTGAGAGGAAAATCATATGTCACAAATAATACAAAGTAGCTAAATTTTCAGTAATAAGACTTTCAAGGGAAAAAAATACACATTCATGACAAAGGTGATATAATCTTTGTATCAAAAACCATGAAATCAGAGGTTCTGAAGTGACTTGATTGTTCCTAATTCTAACAGCTTGCAAAAGCATGAGGTCAGTAAAAGAGAGAAAGACCTTCAGTGGGATGAATTGACAGAGTGACTGCAACAAGAGGCTTCAGCATGATGGTGTGTGAGCACAGGGCACAGTTTCCATTTATTGTTCATAGTTGATACAAGTAAGAGAATATGCCAGAAATGGGGGTGATATTTAAATTAGTGTCACTTGATTAAAACTGTTAATGCTATCTTAAAAACGTGCTTCAACAAAATCAAGTTAATGAATGGATATTTAGTTAGCTTGTGTCTTTTATATTTAAAAACCCTATTATTAGCACTTTATTAACATAATTATTAGTAAATTAGTCTTGTGGTTCATATTCCTGCCTTTCTTTCTTTTTATTTTTTCATCAGTCTTTCACTGTAGACACCAAGCTTTGGTTTGGTTTTAAACTTGACACACATTTCCGGCCATGTGTTAAAAATTAAGAAAATCTTTCAAGAAACTGAACATGTAATGAAATCAATTTGATTTGAAATTAAATCAAATTAAGAAATTGAGCAATAGAAAAAGAAAAGTAAGCCTACATTTCTTAGGAAATTACTAGAGTACAGATAGATAGTGGTTAGTCATAAAAACCTACCTACCTATAAAAGATAAATTTCTCATTCTCATTCCTGTAAATATTACTATAAGCATGGCACAGATAGTAGGAATGAATTAGTGTCATTAAACAGCAGCTGTGTTTATATTCAACTAGAGTCAGTCTAGAAATTAGATTAGACTTTCAGTTTCCTGTACATAGATTTTCTTAGTTTCAACACTATTGGATTGTGGGTTGGATAATGCTTTGTTGTAGAGGTCCATCTTTGCACTGTGGACTGGTTTTCAACATCCTTAGCTGCTGTCCACTTCATGCCAGTATCAGCTACAGCCCTCTTCCCATAGTTTGGACAATCAGCCATGTCTCCAGACTTGGCCAAATGGCCCTGTTGTAGGACAGATTGTGTCCAGTTGACAGATACTGCTGCACGCCCATTTAACTTTGTTGTTCAATAAGTACCACACTGCAATCAAATATGGCATAAAAATGTTTATTATTAATGAGAGCAGTGTTCTACCTCAATTACTCTTGAAGCCAAAATTTGAAACCTCAGATAAATAAACCTGAATGTTATATTTTCTTATTTATGCTTAAAAGCAAGGGTCAGCAAACTTTTTCTATAAAGAGCTAGAAAATAAATATTTTAGGTTTCATGGGCCATATGGTCTCTGTCACTACTACTCAACTCTGCTGTTGCAGGGAGAAAACATCCATAGACAGTATATAAACAAGTGAATGTGGCTGTGTTCCAATAAAACTTTATTTATGGATACTGAAATTTTAATTTCATGTAATTTTCATATGTCATAAAATACTGTCCTTTTATTATTTTTCAACAATTAAAAATAGAGACATATTCTTAGCTCATCAGCCATTCAATAAGAGGTGGCAGCTGGATTTGGCTCACAGTCTGGTTTTAACTACCTACCTCTGTTAAAAGAAAGAAAATCTAAACAGAGTAATCTCTTACAGTGTAAATAATATGCGCCAAGTTTGAACCATGCCTATACAGATCAATGTAGAGAATTTTATGCTTTAGAAAATGTATTTTAAAGCTTTATTTTTAGAACATTAGGACAATAATTGTTTCTTTAATACTGAATTTTTAATATTTAATTTTTCAGTAGTAGAGCAACTAATTTAAAAGACTGGGCTTATCTCAAAGGAATACTATTTTTATTTTGTTATATTAATGAAAATAATTTACCATGCTGAATCACACATGGTAAACTTTTAATAAATGTCAGTCTTTCTTACTACATGAAAATTAAAATCAACTAGATTGGTTGTTCTTCATTTTGAACAAAAAGGTTTATTAGCCGAGATTAAGTACAAGGTATGCTCCAGTTAGAACGGAAATCATTTCTATAAACTTTCAAGGGGTCTAAACAGGATGTTATAAATAGGAATCTGTAGTGAATAATATGTAATCTGATCTGTAGCAATCGTCCTGGAGAATGCTGTAATTGGAATATAATTTTTGATGTGTTTTTTAAACATTTCCTGCTTCTGTCATATAATTTGTTTCCAGCATGTTCAAAACACTCTTCTTATAGCTTTTTTGTTCAGTATGTGAAACTCATTCATCATTTACCAAGTTTGAGACATGGAATAAGAAAAAACTCTTCTGCCATTGATGTAGTAAATTACGTCATTGACCGATTCACTTTAATAGGATCCCCCCCCCACCCCGTTTTGATCCAACTCATTGCCTTTGGATGGTAAAGCAATCTAAACCTTTCCAGTCTGGTCATCTGGAAATGCTGTGGACCCAGTAAAAATCACCAGGCTGGGTTTTCCTGTGGCCAGCAACTAAGGTATATTCTCAATTTAAAAATACCCTGCCAAAGACTAATTTTACCTGAGTATACAGTTATTATTGAAGAATTATGTTCCAGGCTTTGGAGTGTAATACTTCTAATAAGAATAATTTAAAAATTAAGTTAACATTTTTTTCTCCACTTGAAAGTAGGGAGTTTGCCCAGAACACATCATTTTCTTGATATGACTTGTATGTGGCTTCGTTCTCTGTTCTTGCAGTCTACCTTCCTACAAATACACAGTCTTCCCACTTCCATTTTACATGGCATCTTTGATGATCTTTGCTTTGCAAACTCTGAGTCCATATTTGGATTCATCACTTTAATGATCTATTTTTTCTTTAACTCTAAGCAGAAGACCTAATCCCACCCAATCAGTGTTGGACATTCTCTAATTTAGCATATTACTTCTTTCATTTACAACATTTTGGCCTCATGTTCTCCTCCCCTAAGCTCCTTATCTCCACATGCTCACATTCCAACCTCATTCACCTTCCAGTTTACTGAATCTTTTAAAATTCTTTTTCTTAGCATGAATGTTTTTTCCATTTCCTCTAGATAGATTTAAACTGAAACTATTGTCCTAGAGTCAGTTCTGACTTAAAACAACTCTCCATTAACTTTCTAAGCTTGCATGTTGTTGTTGCTAGCCTTTGAGTCCAGCACGACTCATTGCGACCCACTGAACAAAATGCCTGAAGCCTCTCTACAACTATCAACACTTAACAAAATTCGTAGTTACCGGAGGCATGTTGTTTAGAAAGAGAATGCCATTCCTGCTTGCATAACTTTTTAAAAATAAAAAACAAACTGCGTTATACCCTAAAGAAATCAGAACTGCTACCCAAGCAGATATATGCACACCCATATTTATTGCAGCTTTGTTCACAATAGCAAAGAGATGGAAATAACCCAAGTGCCCATAAACAAGCTAATGGATAGAGAAGCTGTGCTATATTCACACAATGGAATACTATGCAGCTCTGAAAAGCAAAGAACTCATGAAATATGCAAAATGGGTGACCCTGGAGGATATTATGCTGGGTGAACTATCTCAGTCACGAAAGGACAAATACTGTGTAATGCCACTGGAGGAAATTAAAATAAGAGGGGATAAATAATGTACACTGCACTGAAACAGATGTGAAAAAGAACTGCTTAAAAGGAATATGTTGTTGCTGTTGTTGTTGTTGCTATGTGCCTTTGAGTCTACTGTGACTCATAATGACCCTAGGTACTATGTACTATGTGCCTTAAACCCTACTCTATCCTGTGCCAATCTCACTGTCTCCAACACACCTACTCCAATTACCCCAGTCACTGGATAAACCCATCTCATCAAGGGTCTTCTTCTCCTGCATTGTCCCTCCACTCTCCCAAGCATGGCATCCCTCACCAAGCATTGGTCCCTCCTTGCAACATGTCCAAAGAATGTCAGGCAAAACTTCAGAATCCTTACCTCCAAGGAGCAGCCTGGTCTCACCCTCTCTAGAAAGAACCTGTTCGTTCTTTTAGCAGTCTATGATATATTCAATATTCTCCGACACCACAGCTCAAGGGCATCAACTCTCCTTCCATCATCCCAAGTCATTGGTCATTGTCCAGCTCTCCAGTGCGTAGCAAGTAATTACAAAGACCATGGCCTGAATCAGGCACACCTTAGTCTCCATACTGATATCATTGCTCTTCAGTACTTTGGAGAGTTCTCTGACAGTAGACTTTCCCAATGCAATTTGTCCTTTAATTTCCTGGCTGCTTGTACCAAGAGTTTTGATTTTGGAGCCAAACAAACTAAAGCTGTTAACAATCTCAATCTCTTCTCCATCTATTATGATGCTGCTACTCAGCCCAGTGGTGAGAACCTTTGTTTTCTTGATGTTAAGCTTCAATCCATAATGATGGCTTCAGTCCTTGACCTTCTGCAGCAATGCACTTCAGGCCCTCCTCAGTTTCAGCAAGCAGGGTTGTGTCATCTGCCTAATGCAGATTGTTGATGAGTCTTCCTCCAATCCTGATTCCCCATTTCTCCTCATAGAGCCCAGCTTCTCGGATAATCTGT